TTCCTCATTCTTCTTGGAGTTGAGCTTTGAGAGGAAGAACTTGAACTCAAAGTTGGAGAAGATTGTGAACTAGCAATGGGTGACAATCTTTGTGGAGATCCAAATGCTTCAACATCTTCAATTTGTTGACTTTTTGAATTTTCATTGGAAATAATGCCTTGATTTTGAACTTTCTTTTATTTCCAATCAAAAGATGCATTCTCACCAAAGAGAGCATCTCTAGAAATAATCACTTTCTTCTTGTCCACACTATAGAGTCTGTAGCCTTTAGATTTATCAAGTAAACTGCCGTATACACAGCCTCAACCCCAAAAAGTTTTGGGTATCTCCTTTTCATGTAGCATAGATTTGGACATCTCCACTATGGTTTTATTCTTCCTTTCCGCCACTCTATTTTGTTGTGGAGTGTACCCAACGGGAAGTTGCCTTTTCATGTCAGTATCCTCACAAAATTTCATAAATTCATTTGAGTTGTATTCTCTGCCTCTATCACTTTTCAAAACTTTCATTAAGTAACTACTTTGCCTTTCCACAAGACTTTGAATTTTTTTAAGATAAAGAAAACTTCACTCGTCTCATAAAATACACCCAAGTTGTTCTAGTAAATGATAAAGTACTTGTTATCTCCATAAGTTGGTGTATCCATGGGCCAGAACAGCATCCGTATGAACAAGTCTAGGAAGCACGGATACAGGATACGAGTACGAACAAGTCTAGGAAGCACGAATACAGGATACGAGTACGATACGATATGGATATGACGATATGGCAACACTTAAAAAAGTATGATGCGGGTATGGTGATGATATGTTTGTAAAAAAAAATTTAAAATAATTTTTAGTAATGTAGTATGTATAAAATAAAACATGATGCAAGAGTACATTCATAAAATATTTAGTACTAAATTCCCTAATATCAAAAAGAGAATTTTATTTTCATCAAAGAGCAATCAATTAATAACCAGGCATACTGACAAAGAATTAACAACAAAAATAACAGAGGATTCGATCAAATATTCAAGGAAATTTAAAGAACAACAATAAGCTAACAAAATTAAGCAATAATAACAATAGCACTAAGTCATAATATCTAAAATTTAAAAATAAAATAAAACAACAATAGAAAGAAATTAAAAAATAGAAATAATGTGATTTTTTTAACACATGAGTGAGTAGCCCTTATAGCAAAGCTAACAAGGTAGAAATTGGTTTATCACAAGGGAATAAATAATGACAATATAAGCCCCATAGAATATGAAGAGACATAGAAAGAGAGGAAGAAACAAGGAGAGAGCATTGACCTTTGAAAGAATATAAATATAAAATAAGAAAAAAATTGAAAAAAAATTTAGATACTCATTTGGCGTGTTAAAATATAAAATATAAAAAATAAGAAAAAAATTAATTTGGATCCTTATTTGGCAAATCCCTTGCGTATCCCTCAGGTATCCTGTCGTATCTCTCAAGTATCCTTCGTGTATCTCTCCTATATCCAAAATTTTAAAAAATAAATCGGATATTTATTTGCCATATCCAATACGTATCCTGCCATATCAAACTTGTATCTGTATTTGATAAGTATCTGATATTCATACAATACCTTTTTTGGAGTATAGGTGCTTCATAGGAACAAGTTCTATTGGTTCTTTTGCTCTCCATGCTTTCTTCCTTGGAAATGACTCTCAGTGATGCTTTCCAAGAGCACAACCTTCACAAACTTGTTGCACTTCTAAAATAGTCAGCAACGCAAAAACGATATTCTTTTGTTGTAGATTCTTCAAGGCCACATTTTTGTTATATCGAAAATGAGAGGAAAACTTCTATTCTTCTCCATCTTAATTTTTGTAACAACTTGACTTCTTCTCTATTTTTTATAAATCTTGCAAGAGTCTTCTTTAAAATGAACAAAGTACCCATGCTGCATAAGTTATTTAACACTTATCAAATTTGCTCCAAATTTGGAACTAGGAAAACATCGGAGATGTATTTGGTACCCATCTTGGTCTCTATGGCAATAGTACCATTTCTTTTTGTTTGGACTAAGGCGTCATTCCCCATTTTTACTTGAGAATTGAAGGAAGCATCCATCTTCACAAAAATGCTCTCATCTATGGTTATGTGATTACTACATCCACTATCAAGAAACCATGCATCATTCTTTTGTTCGAATGCCGAATGACAAGCATAGAACATGTGCCCTTCACTTTCTTGCTCCTCAGAGAAATTGGCTTGTTGATTGGTCTTGACTTGGCAATCCTTTTTTACATGCCCAAATTTGTTGCAATTGAAACATTATGGCTTTCCTCGAATCCAACAATCTTTATCAACATGATTGCTTCAGTTACAAATTCCACACTTTTGTGAGTGGACTATTCATTTTCCCTTCTTCGAGAATTATACCTTCCTCTTCCTTGGAAATTAGAAGTGCCAACATTGAGCTTGGATTGAAAAGCACTTTCAATTGACTTTTCAAATTGGTTACTCAACCTTTGCTCAAATGTTTTAATTGAACCTATCAATTCTTCAATACTCAAATTAGTAAGATCTTTAGTTTCCTCAATGACAACAATAATAGGATTATATTTTTTCAACAAATTTATCAAAATTTTCTCAAGAACTCTTTGATTAGAAATATCATCCTTATAAATTTTCATTTAATTCACAAATATCATAACTCTAGAAAAGAAATCTTTCAACAATTCCGTATCTCTTATCTTTAAATTTTAAAATCTCTTTATAATTATTGAAGTTGATTGTTCTTACCTTCAAGTTGCCTCTATACTCTTTTTGAAGAATATCCCATGCCTCTTTTGCTTTTATAGAATTGATAATCCTTGAAAAGATTGCTTTCGAAACTCCTTGTTGAATCAATAAGAGAGCCTTTGAATCCTTCTTCCTTTTTTTTTTTTTTTTTTTTGATTGACAAATGTTAGTTGCTAGTTGTTAGATTAGCACCTATGGGAGAAAATCTCTCCACCCTCCGCAAAGCTCCTAAGTGCTTGCATTCCTTTAATTCAACCCCCCTAAGGGGAATTGAACCTATGACCTCCTTGGGACTAAGCCCTAAGGAAGGCATGGTGGCCAACTAGGTTAGGCCTAGTTGGTTTGCATCCTTCTTCCTTTGTTCTTTCACTTGTCCCTTTTGAGCATTTGTCAAAGCTCCTCATCTTCAAGTTCACCAAATCCATTTTCAACTAGATCCAAAGATCCATATAAATAAAAATAGTTCCCATTTTCACAGACCAAAAATCAAAGTTTTCACCATCAAAGGCAGGAATAGGCACATTTTGGTTGTTGGAATTCTCCATGGTAGTTGTCCTTTTTGGGGATTGTTTTCCCGTATCCGATCTCTACGCCTAGCTTGTTCTTGACCCAACCAAGCCCTGATACCACTTTTGCTAGCTTTCGATGGGAATTTTCTCAAGGGGGAATTATTATATTTTATTGTATTGATCTTGTATTGAGAGGGTCATAAATAAGATACATGAACAAGAATCATGAACCTAAACAACCTTAAAAAACTTGGTACATAAATATAATCTAGGCAATGTATCCAATATTATATATCTAACATTAGAGACATGAATACAAATAATGCAATGTATCCAAAGTATCCAATGTATGGCATTAATTTTAACAAGTACAACTAAGTAATAAAAACTACTTAATGTGCCCAACACCATTATACCTTATGAAATACAAAAAAATAAGATATTAATGTCAAATTAACCATAAACATGATTATATAAAGCTATTGGCATACTCCGTATAAAGTTCTAGATTTGTCTGTTTTCTTCTTGGCTTGATTTAAAGCAAATTAGTTTAATTGTTGCTAAACAGGACTAAAATAATGAAGAATCATCAACTTTTATTATCTGTCATTATTTCTAGTTACTAACTTTAGTGTCACCTTATTTTGTAATGTGCTTCAGAAACTTTGATAATTTCTTTTAATGATCCATGAAAGTCCAGCTTATAACTCTTCCTTGGTTAAAAGGCCAGCATGTAAAATTAGTTGTCAAATTCTTCACTGTATTATCTTTCCATTTCTTTTTTTGCAGATTGTCTTCAAATTTTTGTTTAGAAAATATAACGGAGACTGTGTTGTGAGGTACCTTGAATTTTTACTATACACTTAAATTTACTGTAAGGGGTTTTTTAAGGAGGTGGGATTCCAAGTGCAACAGGCTTGGCCTGAAGTTTTTGCAATATTTATTGTTATTGTATTTTTCAGCTAGGGTTTAGTGTGAGATTGTGACAGCACTGTAGAGTGATAGAAGTGAGATTCAAATTTCTGTAATCTTTATTATGCATAGTGGATTTGATCTCCTCCCCTTTGTAGACTTAGACACATTGCCAAACCACATATATCTTGTATTTAGTGTAATTATTTGTTTATGTTAATTGTTTTTTAATTGGAACCGTTTATTTTTTGCAAAACACTTTGAATAGTATAGTCTCTAGTCTGCTGGTTTGGTTGTTTGATTGGAGTCATGGCAGCATTGCTTCTGAATGCAGCATTGCCGCTGTTCAGAGGCCTAGTTTGTTATTTTTTCTGCTCTGTCTCTGGTTTGGCTTCTCGCCAACGATGATATTGCTTCCTTATCGGTGCCAACCTAGTTGGGATTGCTGAGGTTAGCGGTGATGCTTTTTGCACTTCCCTCTTTGTTGATGTAAGTTTTATGCTTGTATTGCTTTCTTCATCAATAAAGTTCTTTTGCTTATAAAAAAAAAAAACACTTTGAATAGCATGACAAATTTGATTGAAGAAACATTCTCAAATTCATAAAAACTGAGTAATTCAATGACTTGGTTATTGGCATTATGCTGCATTGGCCATTTCTTTAACGTCATATACATCAAAATATATATATATTATTTTCATCTTTATTATCATCCTTATGGTTTTGACTCTTTTGAGTTAATTCTTTTTGTTATTTGATAATTGAGGGTAAAAATAGTGACTTCATTTGCGTTGTGTTCAATTTTGAAATTACTCAGCATGCAGGAGACGACACAGCGCCATCAGAGGCATACAAAAGATGTTCAAACTGACAACTCATCAGTGGAAGAAAACATGCAGGTTATACCCCCCTCTCAAACTAACTTCCTCTTCACAATTGTTGACGATTTTAGATAATTAACTGGAATAATTTTATTTATTTATTCATCTATTTTTACTTCATGTAACTTCAGTACTTATATTAAGACACATATACATAGCTTAATTTTGTCGCTCCATATTCATCAAATCACATGGCAGATGTCATTCTATTAAGGCATTTTTGCTGCCTTCCCTGGGGACAGCTGATTTTATGTTGGAAAAAATAATCGACAATCTTCTAAAAGTTTTATGGTACATTTAGATGTTAGTAAAACGCATGAAAGTAGTTAATAAAATTGCATACGAATCTGAAAAGTTCTTTTAAGAGTGTGATTCTGAAATATATATCTAGAATGTTATATGAAGCAAGAGTTATTCTGATTTCTCAAAGCAGCTCTGCTCGGTTTCTATAGCCATATATCTCCATAGATTCTTATGTGCACTAACATTTTTTTTATGTTACGCTTCCACTATCCAACAATTTGTTTTGTACCTAACAAATGTTTTCATGTTGTGTTTGTTCATTTGTTCTTTCTTCCCTTTGGTAGAGCATTATTAATGAAGCAACTCTCTCTCTCCTTTTTGTCCATCCTCTTGTGGGAACCAATTAATCTTCTTTTTTTCTTTTTATCGGAAGATGAAACCTTATGTTAACTATTAAAACCTTAATAACTAAATTTTCTGGCAATTATTGATCCGGACTGGCAGCATTTGAAGCATGAGGCAGCAGACATGGCAAAGCAGATAGAACTTCTTGAAGTTGCAAAAAGGTTGGATGGAAGGCCTAGCTAGTTCGAATTTGTTTGGCACACTAAACATATGAACTTTTTTTTATTTATTTATTTTTAATTTGAAGCATTTATAAACTCTGAAATTGGAAAATTTGTATTAGGAAACTCTTGGGAGAGGATCTGGGGTCATGCACCATGGAAGAACTGCAGCAAATTGAACAACAGTTGGAGTGGAGTGTAAGCAGAGTCCGGGCTAAAAAGGTAGTTATTATTATGTAGTACAAAATGTAATTATTTCCTAAAATTTTGTAATTACTTGGAAGTCTAATTTCTTTGATTATTGTCTGTGCTTCAGATGGAGGTTTTCATGGAACAGATTGATCAACTTAAGGAAAAGGTAAACTATTAAAATTTGTGATATTAGGTTGAGTGTAACACGTTGTTCCACTAAAAGTCATTTTTTACAACTGCTTCAAAATTTTGAAATACCTATGTCAGACACTTGATACCTTTGTATGAGCTGATTAAGTGTCTGATGACATTTCTAGTCGGATATGCACCCAACAAATATGCATAAATAGTCAAGTTACTAAATTCCATAAGACTTCCATTTTATGGATAACATGCTCTATATTAGTTTGTAAATAACATTTACCCTAAAAATATAAAATAATTATTTAAAAATTTGACTTTAGATTGTAAATACCATTTTACTTAAATTATCTCACTAATTGCTGATGGTGTATGTCTTTTGGCTTCAATTTAATTTAGGAGAAAGTCCTAACTGCTGAAAATGCAAAGCTCTGTGAGAAGGTGATTCTCTCTTTCCCCCTTTTTGGGCTTTATTTCTATTGTTACCTTTATTATTATTTTTTAAAATATTTCTTGAGGTTTTTTTTTTTAATGCTAAATATGATCTTTATTATTTTGTGATTACCCAAATTTTGATTGTTTGTTGTTTGTACTTTACATGCAACGCGATGTGATTTAATTATACGATATGTTTATTTTTATATCGTAATATATCTTCTAGGATTATTATGTGAATTGGTTTGCTTTATAATTTGGGGTTTTACTATATTCCAAGGTTGTGATCATATGGTATGGCAAAACCACTAACACATTTTTTAGAGTCGCATTTAAATATAAGAAATTTTTTTTGAAGTTTTTGACAAAACAAATTAAGTGTAAATTTTGCAACCACATCAGTCTTATAGACGTGTTTGTATTTTTTCTAGTATGGCTTGTTACCGCGACAAGAATCAAACGAAGAGAGAGAAATTGTGCCATACACAGAAAGCAGTGAGATTTCAGACGTAGAGACTGATCTGTTTATTGGACCCCCAGAAGGGAGAATCAAGCGTGCTTCGCCTCAGAAGTAAACAACAACTTGCAATTGTGCAGCATACATATATCTACATATTTATGATCATAGTCATTTCCATATATTTTGTATGTCTAACTGTAAAATTGTTGCTGCCACTGAAGTATTTTGGCCTTGCTCAAGCAATAATGTGCTTTATATTGAGTGCAGCATTTTGCTCATTGCAACTTTAATCTATCTATGTATCTATGTATCTATGTCATTGGATATGGTCCAAGAATAATACTGCAATATCATATCCTGATGTATATTTTGCAGCACTATGCTTCCTCAATAATCTTTTTATTTTTTTTATTTTTTAAAATTTTTATTTTATTTTATTTTATTTTTTGTGGGAAGCATGCAAAAATATGTTGTAAATGGAATATATAGGTAAATTGCAACTAAATTTGATGGTTCATGGTTATATATATACAAGACAGCCACTAAATCATGGTTGATGGCTATGGAAGAGGAACAGTGAATCAGGGGTTAGTAATGTGTTGGAATTCTATTGGTTGTGTCTTCGTTTTCTGTGTTTCTATTACAATATATAAGCTATTTGATACAAATAATGTACCTTCAAGGATCTGAGTACAGAAGAAAGGCTAGTCTTTCCAATAGATTTCTTCGTTTGCTTTTATTTCTCCGATGTGGGGGGAAGAGACGATCCACAGAAATGTGAAGACTTTTCAGTTTCTTTTCCAACTTTAGTGCATTATTCCCTGGATATCCTGGTCCAACGCCAGTGGATTGTTCATCTATCCCCAGTAGCACTTCGACAATCCTGGTAGGAGTTAATCTTTTAACTTGAATCCCAATTTGGTTTTAATCTTTTGACATATCTTCCAAAACTGCTTTGTATGCCTGGCCATTTTTAGTTGGGGGAAAGTGTTACTTGAGCAAATGCTCATGTTTAGAATGGTCACGCAATTTCACATTTACGGAGTATACGTAGCTGGAAGGCGTCCCCCATTGCCTACTGTAGGTGAGAGTGAATTAATTTTATTTATTTTTCTGTAGTTGCATATTCTGAAAATGTAGTTATATGTGTGTGTATTTGTTGTCTTGTTCGATTTTGTAATATAAGGTCTTGACGGTCGGCAAATCATTTTTGTAATGCCCCAAATTTGACCATATTTTTTTTGGAAAGATTAGTAAGCATATTGAAATTAAAAAGGAAAAAAAAAAAGAAAAAGGGAAATAAGAAGTTTCATATATGATTCTCTTTATGTTTTTCACTTATATTTTCTGGTCATGTTAATAATTTATATATATAGTTTTATTATTTTTATTTGGTAAAATGAGGAAAATATTATTAATAAAGATTTAGAGACAACGTTGGCACCAAGGGAGTGCAACCTGTTGCCAAAGGTAATACCTATCTCATCCATACATATAAAGCCTATTCAAAGCGCCTGTGACAAATAAAATATAGAAGTTGGTTCAAAGGATAGGGATTTGACCATCACTGAAAGTAATTTATACAAAAAAAGGGTACAATTACCCTATTCATCTATACATATAAAGTCCTGATTCTCTCAAAGTGGCCTCTACCAAAATTAAAAATAGTGGTGTTCTCAAGGATGGATTGACCATCACTGAAATTAACTTATACATAAAAAAAGACAATATTTCTAGTCTTGATGCCCAAAAAGCTCTTTCCCTTCCTTCAGAAGTTCTCACTATTACGCGTTCCTCCCCTTATGTAACTAAGACGTCCCCGAACGGCCCGGGAGGAGAGTCCCCCACCTTAGGTTCATGTTCCATATCGAGGTCCCTACTTATAGTATTTCTCGTAGACTCTCTCAAAATGTCACGGTTCTAAATCTTGAACCAAAGAAGTCTTAAATTCGGACAAATACGTTTTAAGAAAACAGATTTTTGAAAGAAGTTGCAAAACATGGATTGCTTTTGCCATGATATAGGTCGCCACCTAAATATTTTATTGAAAAATTTGACGGAAACACCCTGACCAGTTGGCCCATAAGGCACGTGTCCGTTCATCACCAAAGAACAATGTGCTCTCGGCCTCGGGAACTTTGGGTACGATTGGGGAAAGGTCACTTCAGTGAGCACCCCCGCTCGCAACCGATCAAAGATCGGCCTTTTGTAGACGTCCCAGAACGCCCCCGGGAAGGAACGAGTCCCCGTTCCGTTCGATTATTGGCGCTCTACTACAGCTTCAGGACTCTAAAAATTGTCGCTCTCAAGGTTCCTAAATCTCGAACCAAAGGAGATTCTAAAATTACCGGCAAATCGTTTTTGAAGAAAACAGATTTTGAAAAGAAGGTGCAACTATGGACATATTTTGCTCTCAGATTACAGAGTCGCCACCTAAATGTTTTATTTTGGAAAAAATTTAGTGAACCCTGACTCGTTATTTGACCTAAGAGGCCAAACGTGTGTCCAGTATCACCAAAGTTGTCTCTGGGCTTGGGGAAAACTTGGGTTTAACGTATGGGAAAGGTCACTCGTGAGCAACCCCCGCTCGCCGGATCAAAGATCATGGCTAATATTCTTACTAACCATGATATCTAATTTTTGGAAAACATTATGCGTTCTTATTCCGGTTATATAGCCTAGATTTTACTTGTTGTATGCGCACAGACATACAAAGTATAGACTAGGCATTGCCTGAAATTGGAACAGATAACATTTCATGTTTGTTTATTTTGAAAATGGTTTGATGGTGCGGGGGGTGTTACCCGCAAAGTAGGCTAAGACGTGATTTGCCACTTCGGGTGGGCTTAGAAATATGATTTTGCCACTATCTAGTGGGCTTAAAAATACACATTTGATGAATTCGGTTCCATCCAAATAACCCCAACCTTCACCCCAGGCATTCAGGCAGTTATATCATAAAGCACATAGCCTCATGGTAAGCATGCTATTCATGGCAGTCACTTCAACACGCATGCAGGATGCTCTAAAGCATAAAACTTACCAAGTACTCTAATGCCAAAACAGAAACTAAATTAGAAATCCATGCATTGATCCTAATTAACAGAAATGCCTAAGCAACACATGCAAAAAAATGCAACTATAGCAGGCTCAGCTTATTCTAAACATGGCATATGAAATGCTACAGCTAACATGTATTCAACTTGGATTGGGAAAATACAATGTAGTTTAGTATGTGATGCGCCGAGCCCGGGCATGCAAAACAGAAATATATGAATGAATGCAAACATGCTGTCATACGTATGCTAATTGAAAACATGCCCTAATCTAACCATCATTAAGCGGGTAAATAAAAGGGAGAAAGACGTGGGGTTAGAAGACATACATCACACTCACACGCACAAACTTATTACAACATTGCCTCGCGCAGAGGGTCCGAATAAATAATATACAGTCTGGAATGAATATTACAGTCCAAATAATTATAAAACCCTAATTAATTAACAAATTAAACTAGGTAAGCTGTAAACTAGCATGCAAGCTAGGGACTGCCTCGACGCTGCTTCGGGTGATGAATGATGCATGTCCGGGTTTCTTTGTGCGGAAATCCATTGCGATGCCCCAATTAGCCTCTGTTTGCAATTGTTCTTGGGATGCGTGCCAAGCTCCGGAAGGCTGCTGATTCTTGATTTGCTGCAACAGAGGGCAACAAAGGGGCATGGCAAAATATTTTCATATATGTATGCATGACTACTCTTCAGGGAGTGTAGTCCTCGATCCTCGTGCCACCAATCACGCATCTCGATGCATGATGGCCGATGAGTCGATTTGCATGACTTAATATGAAATGAATGCACACATAAACACAACAAGACCGCAACTCCATCATAGATAATCCGGAGTGTCGGCGACTGAGGAATTGAGACACGTTCCGTCACTCGGAGTACGAAACGTCCCTCGTTTCCCGTGCTCGGGCTAAGTCCTATCCCCAACACGATACAATATGCATGACATGCATGAAATGTAACTAAGATACAGCCTATCATGTACAATGGTAGGAAATGGCATACACGATGCACGAGATAACATGGTATACACAATGCGCTAACATATGGCCTAGCATACACAATGCTATGAGATGAAATGGGATACACAATGCAATATGGGCTTACACCAATGTGAGTGGACCTCAGCCGCACTCACATAGGAGGCCATACGATGAAAATGAGACACTCGAGATGCGTGCACACATGCACACAAACTGAGGACCGAACCTAAGGCACAACATGCAACTCTAGCTAGGCATGAAATATGGCATACTAGCATGCAAATTTTAGTGCCAAAATATGATGCAAAACAGCCCCGAAACATGGCAATATGGCACCCGATACATAGAATGAGACCTGAAACATGAAATTAGGTACATGGAATAACCTATGGCTATGCAAAGCATGCACTATTTGATCATGAAGCATGAAGAAAGATTCAAGGCAGTCCCAAAACATGCATATTTACAGTTTTAAGCAAGGCCAAAAGGTGAACACAAATAGGGCTAAGTTAACATGCAAAAATGGCCCCAAAAGAGAGATAATGAAGCAAGTAGCAGCTGCTGGCCCTAAATGGCCAAGAGCCCTTCAACAAAGTTGAAGAGGGGCTCAAAATGAAGTACTTGACAGTTTACAACAAGCCACGGATCTAAACACAAACAGGCCTAAAACATTGTGCAAGAAATGAGGCAAAAGGGGGACAAAGAAGCAAGTGATGGTTTCTGGCCTCAAACATAAGAGGGCCCTTCAACAAAGTTGAAGAGGGACCCAAAACATGGTATTTTACAGTTAGTGATCAAACCCAAAACAGCGCACATGCAATCTTAAAACACTATGCAAAATAAGGCCTAAAAATAGGTTTAAACACAAAGAGTAAAAAAGGAGCCTCAAAAAGAAAAAGACCCTTGATAAAACATGAAGAGGGAGTCAAAATAAGGCTATTTATAGTTTGGACCAGAGCCCAAAAATACAAGCACAAGGGGATAACAAAACATACAAAAATAAGGCCAAAAGAGGGATAAAGAGGCAAGTAACAAAAGAAAGCCGCAAACAGTGAAGAGTCCTTCAACAATGTTGAATAAGGGCTCAAAATAATCCACTTTTCAGTTTATAACCAAGCTCAAAACAGTTTACAAATAGGCCTAAAATACTATGCAAGAAAAGAGGCATACAAGAGAGGTAAAGAAGCAAGTGCAAAAAGGAAGCCTCAAACAGGGAGAGGCCCTTAAACAAACATGAAAAGACCTCAAAATAATGCTATTTTTAGTTAGGGTAGGAGCCCAAATATGCAAGCAAGAGGAGCTAATAAATAGAACAAAATAAAGCACAAAAGAGGGAGAATGAAGACTCACCCTTGTAGACCAAGCTCCAGCAG